CACCATATTGTATGTGAAATCTCTATGTTATGCAACGTTTATTTATTCTTGAATTGTTATGAAATGTTTACCACGTATGCATGTAATCCATTACACTGTTACGCATGTCCTGTGGCCCTTACATATTGTATGTGAAATCTCTATGTTATGTAACGTTTATGTATCTTGAATTGTTATGAAATGTTTACCACGTATGCTTGTAATCTATTACACTGTTAAACGTTTATGTATCTTGAATTGTTATGAAATGTTTACCACGTATGCTTGTAATCTATTACACTGTTACGCATGCCCTGTGGCCCTTACATGCACCATATTGTATGTGAAATCTCTATGTTATGCAACATTTATGTATTCTTGAATTGGCCCTTACATGCACCATATTGTATGTGAAATCTCTATGTTATGCAACATTTATGTATTCTTGAATTGTTATGAAATGTTTACCACGTCGGCATGTAATCCATTACACTGTTACGCATGCCCTGTGGCCCTTACATGCACCATATTGTATGTGAAATCTCTAGGTTATGCAACATTTATGTATTCTTGAATTGTTAGGAAATGTTTACCACGTATGCATGTAATCCATTATACTGTTACCATGAAATGCTATGGATGATATGTACTCTTACATGTAATGGATTGAGAAATATTGCCATGTATAAATGAGTTATAGTATGAAATGTATAAAGGAAATGAACGGTATTAAATATTATGTCATGTAACGTAATTCATACAACCTCATGCATGTTTGTATGTTATTTGCATCGGGATACTTCCCCTTTATATTTTTCAGAGTTATGTTAAATTTCGTATTTTGAACTATTTCTGTAAGACCATGACTTTATTTCAAGGTTATTTAATATAAATATCAGCATTATGACTTATGCATGCATGGGTGACGTCACTAATTAGGTTAAGAAAGTTAGGAATGGATTAATTCCCGAGAGAAAATTTGTTTTGTAAATTAAGATGAATTAAAACAAAAGGAAATAAAAGCAAGAAAAAAAAATTCAATCCTACCGAAGTTTCCGATTCATGGTATAGTCTCATCCAATTGTAGTTTTGATCTTGGATTTACAAAAATAACCCAGTTCAATTGAAAAAAAAAAGTAACCAAACACTTTATCTACTTATTCGAAAAAAAAAGTCTTGACAAGTTTAATTCCCCTAATTCAATTGATTCTAACAAGCATCACAATCCCTTCTTAATCTTATTAACCCAGCACAATATCTTTCATTATTAACTCAATAACAACACTAACCAGGGAGGATACACAAACAAATTTGAATATGTGAGATGCTTACCCCTAATTAATTTTGTTTCTTTTATTCTAGAGTCTATCATGCAAGTAATATCGTTTTGAAAAAACCATAAAGCATACACAAGCCAACTATTATTGGTAGTGCATTGAGACGCTATTAATGAAATTTTTTTTGCGCGCATGTTTTAAGCGTTGAGAGTGGTTTACTGCAACGCTGAGCATGGTGTATGAAATTTTTTTTGCGCGCATGTTTTAAGCGTTGAGAGTGGTTTACTGCAACGCTGAGCATGGTGTAAGTAACATGATGAGCTTGTCCATCACCATGGCCTTTAGACTGAATGTCATTGCCACACCCCTTGTAGATTTATGCACCATCTGAAAAGAAAAAGAAAAGTAACATGGGTGAATAAAAATATATTTAGGAAGTAACCCCACTTAAAGGCTGAAACTATGCCCATAGTACTGAATACACATGCAAAGTCCTGACAATAAATATACACCAATGTGTCTGTATATAATGGCCTTAATTGAAAAATACGAAAACATTGTGTCTAAAGGACACTTTACCTATTCCTAAATGGTACAAACTGTGGTGCATGTGTGGGACGGGACAACCTGGTAAGAAGAAACAAACTAGAGGTTAGTTGGCAACAGTCTAGGTGCATGTGTGGGACGGGACAACCTGGTAAGAAGAAACAAACTAGAGGTTAGTTGGCAACAGTCTAGTCGTGTTGGGCCTATTCCAACCCAGAACTTCATAAAATCATTCTTGATCACCAACTATTATATTTATGGAGCCATTCATGTAAGACCATGCACCACTAAAGGTTAGTTGGCAACCGTCTTGCAGATTCTTCTAGCAACTGTACCTTATAAAAACATATATGGAAACATATATAACATGTAACGAAAGGTAATGTCTTACAAACTAGGATTTAGATACATTTATCTAAGGCTTTTAAACATGCTAGAACCCCTACTATCCGCTATTCGTTCATTGTGTAATCAGACCCCTCTCCACATCATATGCTTGGCAGCACCACTAACTATCCGCTATTCGTTCATTGTGTAATCAGACCCCTCTCCACATCATATGCTTGGCAGCACCACTAAGCAAACCACATATTTAAAAAAACATACTATACCTTAAACAGATCATCACGCTAAATTACATACAATCAACCATGCATGCATTATAAAAATCCAAATGTTCTTAAACAGATCATCACGCTAAATTACATACAATCAACCATGCATGCATTATAAAAATCCAAATGTTCTTACCCAAAGGTCCAAGTAACAGATCCAATCAAGCTACCCAAAATCACTCAAAAGGTTCCTCATCTTGAAAGAGTTTGAATCCTTGCTGGTTTCTCTTCAACTCACCACCAATGTTGTTCAAGTGTCCAAATGTTGTGCAGTTCCTATAATGAGACCCAAAAATTCGCAAGTTATGCTTAAAATACCAACAAACTCACATGAATCTAACAAAAACAAGAAAACTCACCTAAACTGGAACTTCCAACCAATCAACAGTGAAAAACTGTCAGAACGAGTAAGAAGCAAAAACTCACCTAAACTGGAACTTCCAACCAATCAACAGTGAAAAACTGTCAGAACGAGTAAGAAGCAAAAATGAGAGGACAATGGTGCAGGCGAAAATGCATCTGAGAGTGGATGATCCTTCGCTTGGCCTAAACCAGCCAAACACGAAAGAGATCGGGCAAGCAAGAGAGAGTTGAGCCAGGGAGTTGTGCTGCCAAGTTGGGAATGAAACTGAACCGACTCCTAGGATTATGTACGACTTAAATAAGCTTTTGTTTTCTTTTTTCGTTTTCTTTTCCATGAACACTATATTGGTCCCTCCTTATGAAGTTTCGTCTTTGAAAGTTCTCAATCCTTAAAAAAGCTCTCAATATTTGCCTCTCATTTTGTCCTCTCACTCCCAACTCGTTTCTTCGAACTGGTGGCTCTACCAAATGACTTTGACTAGGGCTATCAATCGGTTAAGTAGAACCTTCTGATCTCTTGCAAGAATCTGTATGGACCTCTTTGACTAGGGCTATCAATCGGTTAAGTAGAACCTTCTGATCTCTTGCAAGAATCTGTATGGACCTTTTCACATGACTCAAACTCTCATCCGAGCAATGTGCTTCTTAATCAATTACATGCGATGAGTTTGCCATATACTTATGCAATATGGAAACATGGAATACATCATGGACTATAGCAAGAGGTAATGACATTTGCCATATACTTATGCAATATGGAAACATGGAATACATCATGGACTATAGCAAGAGGTAATGACAAAGCTAAATGATAACCCACAAGGCCGATCCATTCCAAGATATCAAGCAACCTAACAAATCATGAGCTTAGCTTCCACTTCTTTCCAAACCTCAACGCTCCTTTCATTGGAGCTACCTTTAGGAACACATGCCCACCAACTGCAAGATTCAAATCCCTTTGCCTTTTGTCTGTGTAACTCTTTTGCCTACCTGTGCAATTCACATCCTAGCTCTAATCCTTTGGATTGATTCATTCTTGAGGTCAAACTTAAGTTCCAACAACTTGGGTTCTCGTCCTAATAAATAGAGGACTTTCACCTTCTTCCATAAGGAGCTTCTAAAGGTGTCATACCCCAATCGTTGCTTGATAACTATTGTAGTAGTAAAACTCCATCATGTGCATACAAATATCCCAACTACCTACAAATTCAATGCACAAGCTCGTAACATGTCTTTGCAAGTCCAATTCAATCGCTCTCTCTAGCCATTGGTTTAGGGATGAAAGGTGGTGATAAAGTTCACCTGTGTACCCATCCCCTTCTATAGACTCCTCCAAGAATTGAACGTAAAGCGAGTATTTCTATTTAACACATTTGAAATTGGCACCCCATGTCGCCTAACCATCTCTTCCATATACAACTATGCCCACTTTGTACAGAGTAAGTAGGTCTTCTAGGAAGAAAATATGCTTACTTGGTGATTCGGTCAATAATGACCCAAATTCCTGGGAAGCCTTTTAACATTCCTAGGCAACTTTGTAATGAAGTTCATAGATATCTCTTCTCATCTACTGCAACACTAAGCTTGTTGATTTTTGTCTCGAAGTTTTTACTTGTTGACAAACCTGTCATTTATTGGCATGGTTTTCTATGTCCCTCCCTATTGACATGGTTTTCTAAGTCCATATGTAACAAACTTGCTCGGTAATTAGGATTAATGAGTGAGTTGTCTTCCTGCTCAAGCCATCTGCTACCACATTTGCCTTGACTTACATGATACAATATGGTGTTGAGTAAGGATCATAATCCGTAGTCAATTCCAATCATTTGTGCTGCCTCATGTTTAGCTCGGCCTGAAAAGTCTTTCAGGCTCTTGTGGTTCATCAAGATTTGAACATTTTCCTTTATAAACCGTGTCTCCAAATCTTCAAAGCAAATACTACATTTGCTAACTTCAAGTCATGAGTAATTGTGCTCATAATCCTTTATCTAGCGGGAAGCTTGGGTGATGACTAAATCAACTAAATCAATGTCTACCGTTTTTTTTTTTTTTTCCACTCCCTTCATTTATAACAAATTACTGTGACAACTGCTTAACTAGTTACTCGTATACACTTAAAATCCTACTAATATTCCTAACTCTACTAGTACAATTCCTATCATGTTCCTTAATTGTTATTTATCCAATTATAGTGCTCATAATACACGAGTTCTTTTTTCAGCATTTTGCTGCATCGAAAGGATATGAAGCTATTGTTTGTTTTCTTATTGAACAAGGAGCAAAAGTTAATGTTCCAGGTGAGCTTTTGAACTACTATACTAACCGTTTCTTTTTTGTCTCCCTTATGTGTCCATTTGTTGTTTCATCTGTGTGTTACCTGCATTTTTTTTTTATAGCAATTGTCATATATAACCCCCCCCCCTTTTATATGAAGTATGTTCCAAATTTTTGTAATTTGAAAGAAGTAACGAATCTAACCCTTTTTAGCCGCACATCCATTTTAACTTCAAAATAAATACAAGGTTTTTTGTAAGGTAAAAGAAAATATTAAGGGCTGGTCCGTTCATTAAGCCCGATCTCCTTTCTTTGTTCATGACTATATATTTCACTGGTAGCCCCATGTCATTTTGTGTGGTGCATGCAGATAAGTTTAGGAACATGCCTTTACTTGAAGCCATTCAGAATGGACATGAGCAAGTAGCTTCTTTACTTGCCAAAGCTGGAGCAACCATTGTTGCTAATGATGCTGGTGGACTTCTTTGTTCTACTGTCGCAAGAAGGGGTTTGGGTTTTCTGAAAGGACTTCTGGCTAATGGCATTGATCCAAATGCTAGAAACTATGATCAACGGACTCCACTTCACATAGCTGTCTCAGAAGGTTTGTATCCTTTTGCAGAGGTACTTTTAAATGCTGGAGCCAGTGTTTTTGCAACGGACAGGTATGATATGATCTATTTACGTTGATTCTAAGCTATGACTGTGATTTAGCTACTACTATTCAGAGATGCCCTGACAAAGTTATTAGACAAGTATTTCTTTCATTGATGTCCACCTTCATAATCTTTGACAATGACACTTTCTCTTTGAGATCTTCTGGGAGTTAACTCACCTAAGAATTCTTATTTCGATGATCACTTGGATTAAAATGGCATTATTCATCAAAGCTCACATATAATGCATTTGTTCATTTGCATTTTCATTTTTTATTTTGATTTTTCATCATCTTAGACTATATGGGATAATGTGTAGATGGGGAAATACTCCGCTTGATGAAGCTCGTACCAGAGGAAATAAGAATTTGATCAGGCTACTTGAAGTTGCAAGAATTTTTCAGTTATCTGAAAACAACTCTGATATATCCGAAGAGATTCAAGGTACTAATTGATCATTTGTAAGTATAAAATGTATGCGTTAAAATCACTTAAATCTTTACTTATCCCAAGACAAATATTTTGGTGATAATGTTTTACCTTTTTTTTGTTTGGTTGTTCATGCTCCTTTTATTTTATTATATTTTCACTTTGTACGACAATTGATCATTTTATCTTTCTCGTGGAAAACAAGAGCATACTTTGGTCAATTTGTTCTTGTTAAGAGAGACACTTTTCTTTTCCTTTAGCGTCATCCTAACATATTCTCTTAGGCGGAAATAAACCTTAAAAAACTTTATCATAAAATATTATCATGGACTTACATGTGAGAAAACATCTTTAAAATAAAACGTAACAAAATGCTAAATAAAACCAATAAAAACATTAAAATAAAAATATCATATACTAACCTAAGGTCTAAAAAACAAAATACCACTATCCTATGTGATAAGTGTCAATTATGCTGGATTTTGTAAAGCTAGATGTATTTCTAGTATTCTTGCACGCTTTCACAAATGAAAGCTAACTTTATTAATGATTCCAACCAAAAGCGGGTTAAAATGATGAATAACTCTTAGATCGAACTGGGAATATACGATAGTCACTCTTAGATCCCAAGATGACTCACTCCAGAATTAGCTTGATCATGACTAATCCAATGAATCGATTTTAACACAAGGTTTTTGTATTCCACGATGATTTCAAACACAAGGTTTTTGTATTCTAAGTAGGCCAAAAAGATAATCTAAACATAATATAAGTTCAACTATCAATTACAAACTACAAATAAAAGCTATTAAATACGAATCGAAGAAAATAAGACATAACATAAATAATCTTAAATGTCTATCAAAGACAAAAAAGTTATAAAATCCTTTTCCAATGTCAAGTGATATTTTATTGTTATTCAATTCTTTTCTTGATTTAATACTTGAATCTTTATTGCATTGCTTCTTGTAATTGCTTCTTTGAATACATGCAATTGATGAGTGGTTGGATTCATATCACTATGCATAAGGCACTATCTTTACTTGTGATGTCGTCATCAACGATATAGAGGGGTCTTGCCTTTACTACCTAAAATAGAAGTAGACTTAGTATTTTAAGAAATACTCATTAGTGACTCCACTATTGGGGTTTAAGAAATACTCAGTAACTTGGGGTCCGGAAAATGCAAACACATACAACTCATGATTAGGGGTCTATCATTAAAACCATCATTGGTGACCCCACTTATAATTGGGGTTAGAGAAATGCAAACACACGTAACTCATGATTAGGGACCTATCATTAAAACTATCATAAAGGTGGCCTTCAATTCGAACAAAATTGGATGTGTAGTATTTTTCTACACACGACCCATACATGCGAGCGTGGGTCTCCAAGTGGTTCGCACCCACCTGGACCCATCATAGTCGAGCTAGTTGTTCGTAGCAATGTTCGGAGGTCAGCAGACCCCGAGTGTCATGCAAGGCATGATGATGATCATCATCATCATCATAGTATACACATTCATACTCATAATTATAAATGAAGTATCCTGATGTATATGAACACACAAAATGCATAAGGTCCCTATAGTTTTCATCTTTAAATTATCTTTATGTCACAACCCTATGCATCGGTCACACGTTACTCTAAGTAACATGCACGCATTTGTCATCATACATTCAGCCTCATTAACATTAACTAGGGTTCTATCTTTGAAAATTTTTGCATCATAATGCATTGTGACATTTAATATATGCACATCATCTTAATATAGAACATCATCATATTAAGTCATTTCATCATCATACGTCTCACATCTTCTTGTTATCATGCATCATCATCATGTAAACATCATGTACACATCATCACTTGATGTCATCACGTTATATATAACATCATCACATCATCATATTAAACATCATGTACACATCATCACTTGATGTCATCACGTTATATATAACATCATCACATCATCATATAACATAAAACATAAATGACACGTGTAAGGACCATTGAGCACTTGTCGTTATACATAAGACAAGTTATCCAACCGAGTCAATAGTAAAATCATTTGGTTGGCCTTAGCCAAAGTTCTATCTAGCTCCAAATTTGCTTGCTTTCATCTTTCAAATTCGTTTACTCTATTTTTCACCTATTTTGAATATAAACTTGATTGTCTCAGTAAAAAATCGAATTTCATGTTCTCATTGTTTTTAAATTGTGTTTGATAGTAAAAATAAAATTAAAAAAATACGTCAATATTCTTTCAATATAAATATTGTTTGTTATAATATTATTGTCATACAAACCATTTAAAATAAGCTTTAACACTTCTTTCTTTTTTTACCAATTTTAATAGATTCTTATTATTTTTATTTCTTGGTATTTAATTTTGTAACTAAACTTTAAATGATTGCAACGAAATTAAGAACAAAACAAGATAAAAGAAAAAGAGGATCTAACTAACCTATTGCGACAAACTCTTCCATGTGAATTTGGAGGCCATTTTTGTTTCTATTTGTTTTTACGGAAGGAAGGAATTACTGGTTGGAGTGAAGGGTATTTTAAGAAAGAAGTTGTGAGAGTTCAAAGGAATCTTCCAATAGTCTCTTCCACCTCTCAAAATAATGAGCAAATCAAAATTAGGGTTCTAACTCTCCAAATCTTCCCTCCAAAACAATACAAGTCTGTTAATTTATGTAGATACACTTAATTTGTGTATATGTGGTTTTATAGACAAAACATTGTTCTCTCCTCGCAAACTCTAGTAATGGAACAACTCCCGGATTGGGTTGGGTTATATTTTTTTTTTATTTATGTTCGGTTAAATTTTTTAAAAATTAAAAATTCGGGTCAGTTCGTGGGTTATGAGGTTAAAAATTAGGTTATGAGACATTTGTAAATGAGGTTAATGATGCAGGTTATGAGGTTTGATATTTGAACTTTATGAGATTTTTTTTATAACATTTGAATAAGATATCTAAAATATTCAAATATGTTACTCATCTCCCACCTTCTGTTATAGAGAATTCTTTTGCAACTCTCTTTCTTCGGTTCATTCGAGATTTTTAATAAAGGCTCCCACAAGCTTTAGTCTTGTATTCAACTCATAACAAGAAAGATGTTGTGGCATTTGGAAGAACGCTAGCGTTGTTGGAATAGAGGTTTGCAAGCTGTGGTTTCTACCAAGTTAGAGTTATTACTCTTATATTTATTGTTTTATTTTATTTTTTTAATAAAATCAAAACAGTTTTCAATGCACGTGCGTGGACTGTGGGTAAAAAAGTACTACTCATTCAAAAATGCTTTGACTCCGACTAAAAAGTGGAATCCAAAAATTCTTTTTAAGAAAAGATAGTCCTGCCGCAATTGTATGTGATAACAATTTTTGACACCATCGTGGTGTATTAACAAAGTTTTTTGATACCAACAGTGGAGTATTAACAAAGTTTTTTGACACCAGGTTGGCTATTTATTTTTCCAAGTCATGGGTAAGACACTCATAAAAGATGATATCATTGTTGTGGATACCATGAAAATGAAGATAGGGAAGAGACATATTTTGCATTTTAGTTGTAGTCGTTAGAGATCATGGTGATTCCATTCTTCTAAAATTCTTGTTGTTTTATTGTTTCATAATTCTCGTAGTTTCAACCTCGTTATTTCACCCACATTTGTCACGACTCAATTTTCAAGGTTTTGAATCTATTCAAGCTAGTGTTATTTAAATTTATTAAAAATGAAAAATGGGTTCGAATTACCATTACAAATAAAATACAAAAAAATCAAAATGTAAAGATGGGACGACACCCTAGGATGATCCCCATTGTGACGACATAGCTTTTCAACAATCCGTCACCTCGACGGGCAACCTACGAACTCCTAAAAAAAGGAGTAAGGTGTGAGTGTAAAAAGTACTCAAAAGTACTCAGGCCTATTTCTAGGCTCTTATTGTACTCTTATCTTAGTAAGGTACCATAAACTTTTCTCTAGTCTCGAAGAAGTTCGGATATAGTTCTATAGATATCTAAGTTTCTCAAAAGGTCTTAAAGTTCCAAATGGTTCTCTTCATCAGATCCTAGTGTTGCATATCTCTTGGATGGAGAATCTCATCTTAGGTGAACTTGCTTTTTGTTCTCCTACTTAGTAAGTTTGCATAGCCACAACAAGGAACATCTGGTATCCTAGGTTGAGGTCTCATAGGAAAGTATGACATCGGTCTCAACACATTTGTGTAAAGTTAATTGGTGACTCTTTCACATGAAAAATCATACAGTCACACCTAGGGGAGCCATCTTGTGTGTCTCCCAGTTATTGAGTCTACTCGTATGGTTCATCGCCCCTCTCAATGATGGTTTACAGTATAGTGAGCTTGTTGAGAGGATCGCTAACTGTTTTTGCACATAATAGTGGCAACTACCATGAGCTCAATTATTTGTATAGTTCCTCGTCTCCTCTAAAGGGTAGTTTATGACTCTCTACCCGCTTCTAGACACAGTCGTGAGTATTCAAGTTGATACCATTTCACACTGCTAGAGGTCTCGTTAGTTCTCTTAAATTTATTTGGGTATCGTGGAGGTTCACTAGATTCTTAGGGGCATCTAAGCAATTTAAATCTCATATTCGCAATTTCTAGGATTCTTAGAACTAGCTTATCGAGCTAATCCATCCTCTAGGTGTACTTAGGTTTGGACCTCTCACAATCCTAAATGCTTGGTCTACGGGTAAAGTATTGACCTAGATCAAAGTGAAAACAGGTCAAAGTGAAAACCACTTTAGTTCTCCCACTCTAATCTCAACATGGTTTTCTCTTGCCTACTTTATTAGGGAGATATTCCTATGGATCATTTAAAGCACGGAAAACATAGCCTAACATTATGGCAACATCCTATCCTTCTTTCTTAAATAGTAGAAAACATTAAAATAGGCATGCAACTTAATTTCTTATCCTAGGAGCATTTCAGTAATTTTTTTTTCTTTGGTAACATACATGGCATCGTCATCCAACTTACTCTACTGAGGTCCTAATCATGCATATTCTAACCACTTAAAGCAAGATATGCTCGCATGTCTCTAGCGATTCCTATACGTATTACTTGAGAAAAGTCTGAATGTCTACTTACATGGATGACACATGTCTTCTCCAGCTAGCATGGATGACACATGTCTTCTCCAGCTAGATTTTCTACAGGGGCTCCAAATTTTTTAAATTTATCTAGTAGGTTATAATTCAAGCCATAATAAGGTTAATATCAAAATAGAAGCAAAAATAGTCCAGCATGAGTCAAAATGGGTTGGGAGACATCTTTTACACACTTAGACGCGCACTAGAAGAGTAGGCCATGCAAAGGTACACGTGCGAGTACGGACATTATGTGTGTCCTCGACTCCACGATTGTTTTAGTGCCTTTGAGTCCCTGATCTCGAGTTCGATCCGCACACTATGTTTTCTTCAATAATTTCTCTTTATTCCGTCTGCCATGTGTTTGTCGCCTTCACTTCACATGTGTCCCCGTCGTCATCTAACGTGTGTCCCTTCTCCTTCCTAACACATGTTTTGAGCATAATTCGTGATCAACCAATTTACTTCTCGATTTTTGTGTCTTTTTCTACCTAACTAGAAACAATTTGGTTCCTTCATCAAAGTTGTAAAATTTTAATCTAGCTTTATGCAAAAATTATTTTCGTTCAAATTCTTAATTGTAGAGAGAAATAAACATGTTCAAATTAGGCTCAAAACACTTAAACTTACCATTCTTGACCATCGTCGGGACTCTGATCCAATTCAACTCTAGTTTTGTTCACAAAGATGTGCAAAATACTCCTTAGAATAACATACATGACCTTATTTCAAGAAAAATCTCTTTGAATCAAATTAAAAACTTGAAACCCTTACCTCTCAATCTTTCCGGTTTCGAGACGATTCAAATATTTAGATGGAATAGTTTCAAACTTTTTGAGAAACTTTCCTGAAAGAGCCGTGGCCAGAAAATGACTCATTGTGGCATGATCGAACTACCTCAATGGTTAAGTTTCTTTCCTCCCACCATTTTTCTCTCTATTTTGTTTTTTAATCTTTTCTTCTCCCTGATGGACTTTAGCTTTTTTTTTTTTTTTCTCCATGAAAGTGTTTTTAATAAATCTTTTTAAATGATTTTTGTTTTGCACATTTGGGCATGCCATATCTGTGATAACCACTTTATGAATATATTACATTAGCAACCTCATATTAGATGCACCGTGACAATATCAAATTTAAAATAAAATAATCAAAATTATTATTAAAAATGAAGAGGGATTAAAAGACATAAATACCAAAAGAAGAAAAAGAGGCTAAAAGTGGTTGGATCTGGCGGTGGAGGGAGGGGAGTAGCTAGTGGAGAGTAGGTCGCACAGAAGAGTGTGGTGATGATGTTGTCGATTGAAGGCTGAGAGTTAAGTACACGTGATAAAGTTTAAGTAATTTCATGAATTTGGAGATTTGAATTCAAGAACATAAATTCTGGGTTGTGTAGAATAAATCTGAGTAAGTAAATAAAATAAAATAATAAAGCCAAAAGTGTGACTGAATATATATACACAAATACATACATTGAACTAGTGGACAGAGTAAATATGCCCCCCACCCCACCCCACCCCACCCCACCAGAGATATAATAAGCACGTAATCCAATATACGCCTCGAACTGTCATTTCTATGAGGGTACATCAACAGTAATCCAAACATTCTCATCCTCAAATGGGTTTTAAAGCGCTGATAAAAGGGCATCAACATCATGAACAGTTAAGGATTTGGAGTTTTTTGGTACCAAAAGTGATGGAACCAATAGTAACTACAAAAAAGAGGTAAGAGGTAAGAGGGAAAGAAGAGAAGGGGCCTGTGATGATGTATATCATTTTTTGTACTAACAATGAAACCCATTATTCGAGAAACCCCTTCGAAGTGTTACTTTCACGATGTGTAAAAAGGCATCAAGGAAGAGAATAGGGAACAGAAAGCCCACACTCACTGCCATCCATTTACTCCTCCTCTGACTCCCACTGTTCATTCTAAAATATATGCATTTTTGCATGGGTCACTTATTTTGGGCATCTCCCAAATAAATATGCAACTCCCTTCTAATGCTTTAATCACCTTTCTTTCTACTTTCGGCTACTTTACGAACCTCAAATGGACTCTGGGAACCATTCTACAGACCAACCACTCCAACTAAAACAGGAGGAAGAAGACGATGGCGTGGACGGAGGAGAAATGCTGCGTAGGAGAATTTCTAGCCACCCCTTATATGGCCTCTTACTTCAGACTCATCTCAACTGTTTGAAGGTGAGTTTAGCTATTTGTATTCATGATAAAACTTAGTAGTCATTTGTTATACGTTGTGCGTTCAGGTTGGAGGAATTGGTGAATTGGACCGAGGTTATTTAGCTATGGATTTGATGGAACACCGAGAAAACGAGATCAGATGCTTGAATACGCTTAACCAATCGGAGCTAGATCGCTTCATGGTATGCTATTAACTCCATATCATTCGGAATTCGAACTTTATAATAAGCATCACGTTTGAATCATTGGATGTTACAAGTCATATGCGTGGTTGACACATGACTTAATCTTTGCATAATTTATTAGTCGTCAAACCTTTTTAGGGAAAGTTACTAATCGTGGAGCATTTTTAAGAGAAGAATTGTTAAGTCATGGGTCCTAAGTTTTATTTCAAAAGTCGAGGATTGTTGTTGCGAGGGATTTAGAGAATGATCATGGGTTTATAAGTAAGTAATACGTTTCCGTTGGTACGAAGTATTTTGGAAAAACTCAAAACAGAGTCATGAGAGCTTAGGCTAAAAGTAGATAATATCACGAGAGTAGGGTTTGGTTTTAGTTTGATTGTGATGTGGAGTTTAGGAATGGGAAGGAAATTATAGGGTGCGTTGAAACTGAAGGAGTCATGTGTACAGGAAAGCTATTGCTATGCATTGAGCAAGCTGAAAGAAGCAATGGAGGAATCTCAGTTAAAATCGATGGCATTCATAAACAGCATGAACTCGCAATTAAGGGAGCTAACGGCGACGGGTGCAGCAGCCAAGAAACCCACCGCCGCCTCATCTTCTGCTGCTACTAGCGACACAAAGTGAAGGCAATTAGGAAGTAGAGTACATAACGGACATGAGTTGTTCCCTAACCCACCCTACCTACTTGTGGAGTATGGACCGAGGTCTCTAACAGGGATATGTAAGAATGGCTGTAATATGATCAGCAGCATCTGTTTTTGACATTAAGTAGGGTAATTTGGCTGCGTATCTAGACCATATTAATGCTTGGGGATAATAATATTGATCTATATAACTATAATTCATGCAAAATTATTCACGTCTATTATGGTAGTTTAACCGAGTGTTTATATCTAATTCAAGCCATAACGGTTGAGTTGGTAGTTTTTTGTCCGACCTTTGGCCAACTATAAAATAGATTTACAACTTAACTATATTTTAAGAATATTATATCTGTTTTTATTTTTAAATACGTCAAAAAGAGCGCCTATCGATGCAATTCTTAAATAAACGGTCGGACCGAGTAAAACTCTATTTAAATTATTTAGGTTATTATTGTGAATTAAGTGATTTTAGTGAGAAGTACATTTTGGGTCTAGATATTTCTTCAAATTGTGGTTCTAGTTATTCTCGTTGTTGGGTAAGCTATTGTATCCACCCCTTCTTTGAGCTTTCTTGAAAGAGCTTCAATGAAAATTCTTGATTTTGTTATTTTCTGAAATTAAGTTTATTAATAAATTCTTCTCCTTATTTTAACATTTTTTTCCCCTTTTACAATACCTTCAAATTCTTATATAATTTAATAAAAATATTACAATTTGGTTAAAAAAAATAAAATTACAGTTTTACCCTTCATTATGTTACCGACTTTTCTCATTCTCAAATTCTCTCTCCCTACGAACTTTCTATTGAGATGGTTGGGAGTAAGCCTCACATTGGCTAATTTAGAGAATGATCCGAGTTTAAGTAAAGGAATACATCTTCATTGGTATGAAGCCTTTTGAGAAGCCTAAAGAGTCGTGATTCCTAACATGGTTATGAGAGTAGATTCTTAATATGCTCTATGGCTACAACTCTGATCTTCCACGTCATTATCCACGGATTGCGACTAGAATTATCTTCCACATCTAGCTCTCATGGCAATAATGAGTTGGATCATTGATTTAGGATGTTCAATAGCTCTCATGGCAATAATGAGCTGGATCATTGATTCAGGATGTTCAAACCACATAATTGACGATCAAAGTAGTGCAATGGAAGCAGGGTGGGGTGGCCCTTAGAGAATGAAGTGACGCAATCACCTGAACACAGGTTGGAAATCAAACTTGGGAACTAGTGTCAAGATCCAAACACTATGATGAAATATTTAGTCTAGTAGCGAGATGTAGGCAGCTTGGAACTAGTGTCAAGATCCAAACACTATGATGAAATATTTAGTCTAGTAGCGAGATGTAGGCAGCTTTCGAGGCTGCATTCTTGGTCAGATAATTCCTCTATAGGACCTTGACAAGGCAATGACTTTGTTACTTAGTTCTCAACCTCCTCCCGTGAGAGTATTGTTATGGGCTTTTTTCCATAGGTCAAATCTTCTCTCATGTGAATGATCCAAATTGTACTTGTTTAGAATTGAAACATGAAATACATTATGCATGACACGCATGACAGCAAGGTTAGGTGGCAATGTCATATGCATACTACAAGCCCAATTAGCTCGAAGATATCAAATGGGTACATAAATTTTGGGCTCAACTTGGTTGTTCTTCTTGTCGTACCTAGGCACCCAAAAACCTTGAAAATTTGAAAGATAACTAAAAAATTCCAAGTCTCAAGCAAATATGCCCTCATTGGATATTTCTCTCAATTTGAGAGGATCAAATCATCCATGTCACTCCAAATTTAGATATGGCCTATTAGGCACCGCTACACCTTCATCCAACATTTGAAATTGAAGGAGATGGGCTACCGACCTTTAATTTTCAGGCCATGCTTCGTCCTTGAAGCTTTCAATGGCGATGGAGCATTGGGCCATAAAATGGGATGTGAGGGCTACCTTTTGGTACCAACCATTTGAGTTGAGATCCTCTGAAAACCAAGAGCCTAAGTCATTAGTTTTTGGTCAAATTAGAGAGTTATACTCGACCCCTTTGGCTCAAATGAGTCCCTACACACTCAGACAACAATTAGAACCAAACTTGCCCAATAAAGGCCTATACCGTTGGGTTCAAGGGAGGAAGAGGAAGAGTTTTGGTGAAGACATTGAAGAGAAACACGTGTTAAGCAGCAACGGCACGTGGGATCAGACTAAGCTCCCATGTAAACGTAAGAAATTTACACAACAATCCAACACAACCCAGAGGCTCCAAAACCCAAAACATGTAAACAAAGCAACACAGCCACCTTCAACAATCCAACACAACCCAGAGGCTCCAAAACCCAAAACATGTAAACAAAGCAACACAGCCACCTTACACTTTATCATGCACAAATATTTCAAATTAATTTTACATTTATCCATATAATTTCCTGGATTCTGTCCCCAAATCTTTCCCCTGTTCCACTTTCTCCCATTGTCTCACAAAAGAATCGATCCTTATTGTCACAATTAAAGCATTGATTCTTATTCCTACACTTAACTTTTCTCACAAAAGAATCGATCCTTATTGTCACAATTAAAGCATTGATTCTTATTCCTACACTTAACTTTCCCTCTTTCCCCTTTCTATTTATCTTTAAACTTCTTTGCATCTTAATCCAAGCATGGCAGAAAGAGATGAAGCGCAAGAACACGTCCAAAATCCGAAGGATTTTGCATCTTAATCCAAGCATGGCAGAAAGAGATGAAGCGCAAGAACACGTCCAAAATCCGAAGGATTTGAAAGAAGAAAAGAAGGGAGCAAGACCATGCTACCCAAAAACCACTCGGCGCTCTGTTTTCGCATGCATATCCATCTTCCTCCTCATAATTGGCGTGGTGGCTCTCACTCTCTGGCTTGTGTACCGCCGCATGCATATCCATCTTCCTCCTCATAATTGGCGTGGTGGCTCTCACTCTCTGGCTTGTGTACCGCCCCACTCACCCTCAATTCAGGGTGGTTGGAGCCGCAATATACGAGCTCAACATCTCATCTCTGCCACTGCTGTCCACAAGGATGCAATTTACAATCCTTACAAGGAACCCCAACAGGCGAGTTGGGATCTATTATGACAGACTCACTGCTGCAATTTACAATCCTTACAAGGAACCCCAACAGGCGAGTTGGGATCTATTATGACAGACTCACTGCGTTCGTGTCGTATAGGAACCAGCAGATAACGCCGCAGGTGATGCTGCCTCCCCTGTTCCACGAAAAGCGGAGCACAGTGGCGATGTCCCCTGTACTAGGAGGTGGGGCGGTGGCAGTGCCGTTGGAGGGAAAAGCGGAGCACAGTGGCGATGTCCCCTGTACTAGGAGGTGGGGCGGTGGCAGTGCCGTTGGAGGTGGGAAATGGGTTGGTCACGGATGAAGCGATTGGAGTTGTGGGGTTGAGAGTTGTGTTGTTGGGGAGACTAAGATGGAAAGCTGGGCCAGTCAAGACTGGGCGTTATGCGGTAATTGTGAAATGTGACGTGTTGGTGGGTCTCAAAAGTGGGGTGGTGGGTCAAGTTCCGTTGCTTGGTTTCCCCGCTTGCCAGGTTGATATTGGGTCTCAAAAGTGGGGTGGTGGGTCAAGTTCCGTTGCTTGGTTTCCCCGCTTGCCAGGTTGATATTTAGGCCATGTGGTTATTACTCATAATGGATGTTTCTAAATGTTGTTTTATTACTTGGTTCGATTTAATAACATATATAGATGTGAGGAGCAGAATAAATTTGTGGCTCTTTCATTGTTGAATGTTAGGAAATGGGGCTTTCAACATGGGCTTCGTATGGAGAAATATAAAGGCCAATATACATATATACAATTGTATGTAGTATGAAGAAGATTTGGTTAATAGATGGTGTTGAGGTGTAATGGAAGGGGCATGGGTTGGTGGTGCAAGAATTGAGGTGGTTGTGGGTTACCATTTTGGTGTGAAGCATCCTTACATTTGCGTGTTGGATGTAGGAGGGAGAGACAAGGAGGAGGCGAGAGGGTGAGGTGAGCAAGATGTTGGACAATCCCAACCACCGCAGATATGCTCCCACGCAGTCTAAGAGTACTTGAGTTGGGGTCTACCAATGTGTGCTTTGGACTCTTCTCTTTGCTTCCACTCTCCGCTGTTTCTAACCATCTCTCTCCCGACATATAATATACTCAAATATGGAAATCCCCAAACGCCATTAGTTTAGGCTCCAAATCACGATTCTCTAAGGGGATTCTGTGACTTAGAGGAATGGTAGCTGTGGGAGAACGACGGGAGCACAATTCTTTTCTTTTATCTTTTGGAAGGCAGATGTCTTCACCTCTTAAATTGATTTGAAATCTCTACGCTTTTTTTAACATCCTCTCACACCCTACTTGTATCAAATATTAAATACTTATTCTACTACCAATTGAATCTAATCCCACTCTAAGATACATTTGGCCTTCTTTTTTATTTTTTTAATATGTCCATGTATCAATTGAACTCGTTTAAGTTGCATCTCACTTGAACCGTTCTCGTTCGAATACAGTCCTGGAAATTTAAGGCCAGCTTGGGTCTGATACCCTCGACTCTTTCCTTCTAGTTTCAACTCTCAAAAGTGTTTAAGATTAGTATGACTTGTTTTTAACCTATTTTAAATTAGTTTTTAATGTTTAAGATTAGTATGAATGAAGACTCATTATTTATGCATGTAGCTTAGTTTAAATTATTTTATGCAAAATTAAGTGAGAATTCTTAGTTCTAATTTATGATTGTTGCACTTATCCGGATAATTAAATTTCAGAGCAACCTTAAGTTAGCATCAAGGAGTCAATGTAGGTTCAACCTAGCCCAACCAAGTATCAACATGGTTAGAAATTGATGTTGTATGATAACATGTGCTCCGTGGTTCTGAATGTGCCATCTGCTTGATATGTGTCAAATGGTTATGAAATGATATAACTATGATATGTTATGTAAATGTTATGACACGTGTTATGATGTGATGCGTTTGACGATATATTTGAGATATGATATGTGAATGATATGATATATGTTATGAAACAATGTGTTTGACGATATATTTGAGATATCATACGTGAATGATATGATATATGTTATGATATGATACGTTTGTTGATACGATACATGCATATTGTGATATGCTTTATGATATGATACGTGCATGGTATGACATGATATGTTGGAAGACACAATATACTTGTGATATGACACATTGACATGATAAGATGTATGATATGAATGACAAGCAATAAGATGTTTCGACATGATGCACAACCCCGATTTATGTATGGAAAGCTATGATAAAAATGACATGATATGAAGGAAAAATGGAAGGGCTGTCTTACATGATAATGAATAAAAATGTTGGGACCACATACATCATTGTGTGTTCATGCATCAGGGAATGCCCTTCTTTTATGTTGGTACAAACGCGTACACTACAAGGTAGAAAAAATATCATTATGTTAATCGTAATATTGCGACGGTCACTATACCTAACGGATGTCCGACATCAAAAGCTCCAGAGAATACTCGCTCGACCATAAAAGGGGCCTAGAAGGTGTGCGAACTAACTGGTGGGTCCATACTCAAATGTGTGAAAACAATAAATATATATCTAATTAACTTTTAGGATAGCTGCCTAAGAAAATATAAACGGATGTAATAAGTCCCACTCATAATTCTATATCCTTGCATCTTAGCTTTGCACGTAGAGAGCATCACGAACAATTGTTTCTTCAAAAGCCTCATAAACACCATGTTCCCCAAAAAGAACACAATTCTTGATGTACTCTTTCGATCATCCACATTGCCACGCCAATCATTTTCGAGATATCCTTCTAGCACTAAATATTCAGTTTTAGTGTGGAATAACTCAAAAGATTCCGTCTCTCCAATATATTGCAAGATTCTCTTCACCACTTTTAAGTGCATATATATCGACCACTCACAACTCCAACATTGTAAGAAATATAAGGTCGTGTACATGTGAGACAATAGAGACTCTCCTCTAGATTTCATTATTTATTAGATATCGAGTTACAACCTGTCATTTTATTCCTCTTCAAAATTTCCATTTCAAAATTCCCTATTGCATATACTTCTTGTGACACGAAAATCTCAATCATTTTTTTTGTCTTACCTCTAGTTCAAAGAAGTAATTCATTAGCACAAATATGTCATTTCTGTTGGCTTATTGGCCCTTGATCTCACATTAATTAATTTCAATGAATTAATTATTGATGTTTTGATGATAACAAACCTACTTTTAATTATTAACTATTTTCAGTTTTTTGAACTGTCCACAGTATAAGGTCGGGAATAACGATTACAACAACTTTTCAATTACTCAAATCAGAGCTAAAACGAAGAAATTAGAGTCGAGACAACATACCCGACGTGATGATGTGGCAACAAAATCAAAATGATGGACAAATCAAAATATATCAAAGTATGACATTTATAATATTGGAAGAGTAACACATGGTGGAGTTTTTCTTATTATTACATTTCTAAATAAAATTATTTTTACAAATATAAATTTGAATATAACCGTTACTCACATCGAATTTTATTATTACTATATTATATTATTATATTATTATATTTTAAAATTTTGGTAGTTACTCACATCATTTTTATTATTATTATATTATTATATTTTGAATTACATTTTACCGTTACTCACATAACTTTTTATTATTATTATATTATATTACTATTATATTAAAATTTTGAAATAAATGAATTTAGAAAATTTTCTTACTTAATTACTTTTAATCTCCACCTTCCATTATTCCTAACACAATCCAATGGTCAATATTCAATCCTACATTTTGCCACTTTTCTCCTCTATATAAACTCATTTTCCCCACATTTTTAATACACACAACTTACATACATTCTTCAATCCTCATTTGTTCAAAGTCTCCATTGTTTATTGCTCTCTTCAAGCTTACAAGTTTATTTCTTTTCATCTTATTCTTGAGAGGGATTATTATTATATTGTGAGGAAATAGTTGTCAGTATCCCAAATTGTAAATCTACTCTTTGAGAGAGTTGTGGTGTGTTATTATCAAACTCAAATACTTGTATCGGTTTGATCCTGCGTCGTTGAAAGGATTGAGTTTGCTCTTGAACTCGTAAAAAGAGCGGTGTACCGGTTTGGCTCTGATCCGTGGAAAGAGTCGGAAAAGTTCTTTATTCAAATTCCCAAGAGGCGCTTGGGGAGTGGAGTAGGTCGAGTTTGACCGAACCACTATAAAACTACGGTGTCATTTTCTCTAACTCTTTCCTAGTTAATTTCAAGATTATTATTATGTTTGTTGCATGTTCTACTTGATTATTGTTTTGACTTGAATTATTTTGTTTTAGTAATTATCATCTTCTACTTATTTGTAAAAAGTTTCATCATTAGAAAAATTAATCAAGTTTAAACACTTTTATCGTTAAAACCCTATTCACCCCCCCTCTAGGGTTGCCATACCGATCCAACAATTTCGAATTCTCGAGTCATCACTCTTTTGAATTTTTTTATCATCTCATTATTATTCTTCATAAAAATCAATGATGTCCAGCAAGATCGATGATGTCTAGCTTAAATGATTATACATGCAATCTAAACTACATGTAATTGCGAACAAACTTAGTCATTGGGTAAAAGAAAACCAAATGCTAATTTTACTGTATTTTTAAAGTCTATTTTACAAAGATAATATACCTGACTTTATATAGCATCAAAATGAAATTCCTCCACAGTAGTCATTCCAAGAGTTGTAACTTGTATATCTTTAATTAGCCACTTGTATACTTTATGACCATAATTAGCCACAATGTAAATAAACCTTAAAAAAACCATTAAAAAAATATTATAACTCTAAATTATCATCCACAAAATATTTGTAGCCATCCAAGAATAAATGGAGTTTAATTCTTCTTTAATGCGGCATGAATTGTGACATCTTATGATAATTTGAACAACATTTTTTTCACATCTTCCTTAAAGTTTATCTGGTGAGATTGATGCCTTGGTTCATATCACATCATGAGAACATCATTTTATTTTCTCCTCTTTCACAACATCCAAGAAACGGGTCATATTTTTTTAACAATTATAGTGTTCAATATTTTATTTGCACTCTTTTGTATAGTGTCATGCTTGTCGCAATTGTAGCACTCGATACTTGAATGACTTGACCGATCGCCTTTTCTACAATCATGTTCTCTTCCTCGATAATTATGTTGGCTTAAGTGTGCTTTCTTCTCATAGATTTTACCTCAATTGTGACTTCAAGCACCACGATAATTGTTTCGACCTTCATGGTCGTGCCCACTGCCACGAGAGTTTTGCATGTTTTTGTCTTTGATGGACAACTTGGCTTGTAGCACTTCCACCAACAATTCCTTCTTCTTCTTCTTGTGCTGCTTGTGTGTCTCTAATGATACTGCAAGGTCATTGATAGTTAGATCTTCCAGAACCTTCAACTTCTTAATGGCACACACGACATTCTCAAAATTATTGGTTAGTGCTCAAAATTTTCCCACAACCTGCGACTCCCAAGAGTTTTTTCATTGTTCTTGAGTTGATTCACCACGATTTGTACATGTGTGATGTAGTTGGATACGCCTTCTGACTCCTTCATCTTCATCGTCTCCAATTCCTCGATAGTGTTTGGAGTTGTACTTGATTTACTCAATCGGCCCCCTTGATAACTTTTGCCAACGTGTCCCTTCTCAAAATTTGGCTCATCAACCGCTTGGAATAATAAGTACATCGTTGTGTT